GTTTTGGCATCCTCAAGGGACTCAAACTGTCTTCCTTTGAAATGTTGTTTGAATTTGGGGAACAAAAAGAAGTCGGAAGGAGCAAGATCAGAGCTGTTCGGTGGGTGGGATAAGGTTTCCCAGCAAAACAGGACAGCCCTTGCTACCCTTGAAGAATGAGCAGGTGCACTGTTGTGATGGGAAAAAATCCCTCAGCACAACTTTTCTGGCCTTTTTCGCACCAATGCAGTTTTCAATTTTATCAAAACTTCATAATAAGCCCCCATGATTGTCCAAGACCCTGGGAGGAGAGTAAAGGTTAAAGACAATAGGTTATTGCTGCTGTTGTTTGGTGCTGTTGAGTCAGCTCTGACTCATAGCCACCCTGTGTAAAACAGAATGAAACACTGCCCAGACAGTCCTGTGCAATCCTCACAATTGTTGTTATGCTAGAGCCCATTGCTGTTGCTGTGGTGTGAATCCATCTCATTGGTGGTCTTCCTCTTTTTCGCTGACCCTCCGCTTTACTAAGCATGACCCTCCACTTCACCAAGCATAATGTCTTCTCCAGGGACTGGTACCTCCTGATAATAAATCCAAAGTATAAGAGAATCTCTCCATCCTGGTTTCTAAGGGACATTCTGGTTGTATTTCTTCCAACAAAGAGTTGTTTGCTCTTCTTACAGTCCATGGTACTTTTCATATTCTCCTCCAACACCATAACTCAAATGGATCAATTTTTCTACTTCCTTTTTCACTGTCCAACTTTCACATGCATATGAGGTTACTGAAAATACCATGGCTTGGGTCAGGTGCACCTTAGTCCTCAAAGTGACAATGGACACTATAAAGAGATGGTGTGAACAGAGCAGAATATCCCAAAAAACCTCAGGGGCCAGGCACGGGATGTGTGTGTGCTGGCACTGCATAATTGTTGTTGTTGCTGTTAAGTGCCATCAAGTTGATTTTGACACATAGGAATCCTACTTAGAGTTTCCCAAAACCTTACAATTTGGAAAAGAAAAAGAGAAGAGGTCATGCACAGCAGGTTTGCCTAGTGCAATACGTCATTTGATTTCTTGACTGCTGCTTCCCTGAGTGTGATTGGAAATCCAAGGCACTAGGTAAATTCTGTTACATAGAAAATCCTGCAATCACGGTGATCTATGAGAAGGTGCGTGGATAGGCACACAGGCTGAATGGATGTGGAAGGGAGAGTGGGAGTAAACACACAAATATATATATAACTTTGACAGAAGATCTTTGTACATGGGTATTTACCTTTGTTGCACATATATCCATGACTTATGAAAATTTCCCTAAAATAAATAAATACCTTAAGGGAATGAATTGCTTGGTTTTGGGGCTCAGGGGACACCTAAGTCAATTAGAATAACAGTCCACAAAGACAGTGTTCTTTGTCTTACTTCAGTGAATAGTGACAGGCAGTAGATTTGTTTTTTGGAGTGTTTTTGAAGGTGCAATTATTGGTCTCTCCCTGCCTGGAGGAAAGAAGAGTGAAGAAAATTAAACACGAATGGAAACAATTAGTCTAGTGGACTATTGGACCAAATGACAATCAGTCTTTATGACCTTGAAATCAGAAGAGCTAGATGGTGCCCAGCTAGTATTATCAACTCCTCTGAAAGGGATCACATTAGAAGGTCCTGGAAGGAGTGGGGGAGAAGTGTGGAACAAACTTCAGAACCATAATACAAAGACCAGGATTACTGATCAGATAGAAACTGGCGGAACCCCCAAGACTATGGCCCTTCATCATCCTTTGGGTCTGGAACTCAGCTCACCCCCATGGCTCAATTTTCAGCTAAAACCTAGACAGGCATGTAAGGGGAACAATACCACTAGTAAGGTATGCACACCTTAGAATAATCAACCATTTGAGATCAAAAAGGGTGCATTTACCCAAAGACAAAAGGAAGGTTAGGAAAGGCGGCATGGAAACAGGAAACACAGGGAGTGGAATAAGTAATGTTAAACTGTGGGGATTGTAATCAATGAGGTGAAACAAAATGTGTATGAACTGAGCAGACAACTGATCTGATCTTTAAACCTTTGCCCATTCACTATAACAAGTTAAAAAACAAAGAATTTATCCTCTCTCATTCTCATTGTCACTGTATCGCAGCCTTAGATAGACTTCTTCACTCACATCAATTACAACTCATTCCTCTGAGAGCTCTCACTTCTCCAGTGAACCCAGAACAACCCAGCTCACTCTACCATCAGCACTATCTTCCTAAAAAGCAAATCAGATCATTCCATTCTCAAACTCAAATATCTACAATGGCTTCTCATTGAATATAAAATAAAATCCAGTTTCCCTAGTGTGGTATATTAGGTTCTCCACAGAGGGGCACACCTGTAGCAATTCGTTTTAAACCGCTGACGGACCTCTCAGGACACTGCAGGAGACGAGACCAGGGTACTATTACCTGCGGTATCTTAGATACTCTTGGTTTTTCAGTCTAGCCTCTCTTCACCACTGGTCTGTGCCACACTGAATCTTCCACCAGAACCTAAATGCTCCTTCCTCCCTGCCTCTGTACAACTTCACCCTTTGCCTGGAGTTAGACCCTCTTTTATTTCTTAGCTTAGGAATCTTCTATTCACCCCATGACCCCAGCTCAAATATTACCTCCCTCCTGAACACATTCCTTCATTCCTTTAGAAAGTGAAGCCTGCCCTCCTTAGATCCTCCAGCCCTTCATTTACGCCATTGCTTTAGTGATTGTCACAATGTATTGAAGTCACTCCTACATGTCTGCTGACTGGACTCTAGCTCCTCAGGTGCAAGGATTGTGTTTAATATTTTATTCCCAACATCCAACCACAGGCTTGGCTCCATAGTAAGTGCTCAATGAACGTATGTGCTATGGTACAGTGCTCCTCTCCCCCACCCCCCATCAACCCTTTTGTTTGTGTATATTGCCAGAGGCCTTTGGTACCCTGGCATTTCTCTTCAGTTAGGTAACAGGAAGCAGAGAAACCCAGAAGAGAGGGAACCCTGGGGCCCTCTCCCTTTATCCTTGGTCATAATTGTCCAACTTCAAAATAAACTCTGCAACACCCCTAGTCACCTGCCATATCATACTATCAAAGGCTGTTTGATGTTGTCAGTTTACGTGAAGAAAAAAAAAAAAGTACTTGAGGCGGAAGTAACTCACGTTGCACCCTGCGTAGTAGATAAGCATCACAAGTCATGGACAGACTCACATGACCTCTATCAGCCTCTGAATGGCATCTTGCATAACACATAATCACACTCACACTCACGACCAGGGAGTGGATTCCCACTCACAGTGACCCTACAGAACAGAGTAGGGCTGCTCCATAGGGTTTCCAAGGCTACCATGTTAATGGAAGCAGATTACTACATCTTTCTCCTGAGGAGCAGCTGATGGCTCCCAACCCCTTTTGGTTAGCAGTCAAGTGCTTTAACCATTGCATCATCTGGTCATCTGGGATCCTTTTATTCTAATCAGAGAATATATTTTTAGATTTTAAACAATAGCTCTCACTTGAGCTGCTGTGTTGAGTTTACACTGAAAACTGTGAAAACCGTAGAGAGCAAGAAAAGGAAAAATTTGACCCAGATCTAGATTGTTCCACTCTGAATGTACTTAAAGGAGTGGTAAGTACATGTCTAAATTACTTGGTTTCTTGAACAGTTTGTCTAAAAAAAAAAAAAAAAAAACAGACAAAAAAGGGGTGAGGCAGAAATTTAAATTAAAAA